ATCCGGATTTAACTTATCTATAATCCGTGCGACTACTGGCGAATGCCCCCAGTGGATATACGCAAGTATGTTGACGCCTGCCAGACTTATCAATGCATCAAGTACGACCGCCCCAGACCGGCTGCCCCCCTTCATCCCAATCCTACTCCTGAAGGACCTTTCCGCCATGTTGGTGTCGACTTTGTAGGCCCTCTACCACAATCAGAAGGCTACAACATGATATGCGTTTTCACGGATCACTTCACAAAGTATGTCATCTACGCCCCATGCCATGATACAATCACCGGCCTCCAACTCGCGAGCTTGTACAACAAATATGTCTATTCCCACCTTGGCCTCCCACGCCGCATTATCTCTGATCGAGGAACCCAATTCGTCAACTCCTTTGTCCGCGAGCTCTTTCGTCTTGAAGGTATTGAAAGTAACCGCCTATCACCCACAGACAGATGGTCAGACTGAACGTCAAAACCAAGAGCTTGAAACCTTCCTTCGTATCTGGGTCAACTCTCACCAGAACGACTGGGCAACATGGTTACCTAGCCCGCAGTTCTGTTACAACAACCTCGCTCACTCAACAACTGGCATATCCCCATCCACCGCACTCTTTGGCATGCCTGCCTATGATGGATACAATACATGTCTTAAACCAAAGGTGCCAGCTGCTAGCGAGTTTGCTGCAATGCACGACAAGATCAGAGAAGAGGTCAAGTCTGCTCTGTGTGACTCCAAGACACGCATGAAGGAGCAGTATGACAAGCATGTTTGCGACACCATCCCATATGCGTGCAATCAACTCGTTTGGCTCAGTGCAAAGAACATCAAGAGCGTACAACCATCCAAGAAGCTTACACATCTTTGCTGTGGACCATTCCGAGTTATCAAGAAGATTAGCACTACGTCTTACAAAATCACTATTCCACTGTATTGGAAGGAGAAACGCGTACACGATGTCTTCCACGCAGACCTTCTCTGTCCCTATGTCACTCCATACTTCAAGAACCAGGTCAACGATGGGCCAATCAAAGTGCCTGACATGGTTGAAGATGATAATCAGGAGGACACTTAGGACTACGATGTGGAACATGTTAGTGATTTGAAGAAATGAGGTCGTACAGTTTGTTATCTGGTCGAATACACAGGCTATGGCTGCGAATCTGATGAGTGGAAACCGCTTGGGGCACTTAAAGACTGTCTCAATAAGGTTGCGGAGTTCCACATTGCCAATCCGGATAAGCCTCATGTGAACAGTGCCCCTACTGAGATCATTGAGGACAATGATTTTGAAAGAGGGGGTAATATTACGGACTAGCCCCTTTCACACACTCTACTAGCTATATATGTAACTGTGACTAATGCACTATATTCCTTTTATCTTTGGACACACCTTACATATTTTCCCTGCTTTTATCCGACATATTCAGCTCTCATTTTACGTTTATCACTCTGCGCTCACTTGTCTCATTTGTGTAACTCATGTGACCACATTCACACATCATTGATCTGCTTACTCGATTCCTAGTTACTCATATCTCGGATCTGCGAGACCTTACGATGTTACCATGACTCACTGACCCACATTGACTCCCTGCGACCCACCTCTTCTATTTGTCTATGTTTACGACCCAAGCATGTATATAAGCCTCTTGTGCTTGCACTCTTGCAGGCCAGAATCTATGTGGTTCATTCTCCTAGTCCTAGCAGTTGTCACCCAGTGACCTTGGCTGTTACCCTCTAGTC